AAATATATATATATATATATATATATATATATATATATATATATATATATATATATAAAGCGTGCTAATAGAATTGGAAGAAAAATGGATAAAAAATTTAATTGAATTTTTCGAGTCTATATTATTAATTATACATCGTATTAGTGTTCTATTACTTTTTTCTGAAGCATCTGTCTTTATAATTTTAATTCGATTCTTTTTTTGCGTTACAACATTATATTGTGTTATACATACAATATGTATTGTTATACGCACATTGTTGAATAGTTATCTATATGTGCATTTATTAAAAATAATCTATGTGTTAATTTCATATATACACATACATTTCTCTCCTCTCACCTTTCTTCTATAAGCTATCATCGATACAGTCCTTATAATGTATAAGCGCGGGTATGAGGGTTACCGTCAAAATGGATAGAATTACTTTAAATCACATAATATTTATAATAACAATACAAGATACTTGAGATTCTGTTTCAGGTATTCTCTATCTATTCTTTATCGGTTTATATTTCAATCTATTTTAATTTTGTTATTCGAAATCTCAGTTCTCCTTCTGCGAATCTCTAGTTTCTATATATCCTCAAACAAAATGATGTATGATATGATTTTCTCACGTATTTGTAATGTAACGACAGATAGACAGATACAGAGAGAGAAAGAGAAAGAAGACATTTTAGTTTAAAACCTATAATCGCCTATACCTATAACCTTTTAATCGCGATATAACAAGATATCAAAGTGAACGATATATATATATATATATATATATCGTTATATATATATATATATATCGTTATATATATATATATATATATATATATCCTTTGTATATCAAGCATTGTTGCAATTTGATTTGACCTAGTATCTAACAAGTACACATTGGCGAATTTGCAATTTTATTTGTCTTGCTTCGTTCTCAAGTGAGGAACAAATTGTTTCAGGTCGCGCTCAGACGGCAACAGGCCCAGGAGGAAAGTGAGGCACGCGAGTTGGGCCTGCAATTGCAATATAATGCCGGCAGCTGCAATACTGCTCCCGTTCTACCGGCGGCCGCCGGTGCGACGCCAGCTGGTAGCCCGCCCCCGCACCCGGCACACGTAGCGAGTCCGGCGTGTCTCGCGATCCCCGCGGCGGCCGCGGCGGCCGCTGCCGCTGCTGCCGCGCATATTCAGACGCAACTTCAGCATCAGCAGCAGCAGCAGCCCACGGAATGTGGCCTCCTACCGAGGAAGAGGTCTATCCAGGATGAATACCGGCAGTCCAAGGTCGAAAAAAACGATGCTGTTGTCGGTGAG